ACCAGGAGACATGCTGAGTCATCGTTAATGTGAACCAGGAGACCTGCTGAGTCATCATTAAAGTGGACCAGGAGACATGCTGAGTCAACGTCACAACGTGGTTCTGAACTGATCCGTCAGTAGCTCCGCTCAGCCCAGTCCTGGTGCTGCCTGGCTGTAGCTTCCTCTGTAGTGCTGAGAAGACAGCGGTGAGGACTGGATGGAGGCAGAGCTCCAGTCAGCGGGCAGCTACGCTTGGATGCTGCCGTTTCAAATGAGTGTGGAAGTCTGACGTGTTGCCGGATGCACAGCTGAGGACAAACGGCTTTCGTCTGGTCGACTTGTTTTTCTCGTTTTTCGGACTTCACCAGGAAACCAAAGTGATCCCAGACGGGTGGTTTTAATGACACCGGAGCGTCTTCCAGCTCTGGCTTGTTGTTGCTAGCGTTAGCCATCCCATTCGCTAGCCATACAGACGGAGGATAAACGGTCCGTCACATCCTGTGGTCCACTGGAAACTCCTGCTAGCTGTTAGCTCCGCGGTACTGTGGATCTGTGGGCACCATGGGATTTAGAGTTTGGCAATTGAAGCAGTTCTGTACGCTGGTCCTTCTTAATAGTCTCCAAATGTTTGTGCGGCGGTACAGGTCGGTACCAAACCGAAAGGGCCGGCACCGAGCGGTTTGGTACGAATACATGTGTTGCTACACCTGTAGTAAAAAGTGTAAAAAATAAAATAAATACCATTATCTGTGAAAATGTGGCTGTTTGTTGAGGTCATACTTTACTGCTTACATCATTAAAAAAACCACCGTCCTGATAAATGACGTCGTCAGCGTGACTGGACCTGATTGGTTCGCTGCGGCTGCCTTCGGTTAGCGGCTCCACGTCTCGGTAGTTTCCAGTATTTGCTCTACGTGCAGCATCTCTGCTTTACGGTTCCTTCCAGCATCAGCTGCAGCCTGCCGCCTCCGGGGAGCTGCTAAGTGATGGTAACTGGACTCCAACATGTTGCAGTCTGATGAATAGCAGCCAGCGGAGGACGAAGGAAACTGAGCAGCGTAATGTTCAGGCTCCGAGCCAAAGCTTCCATTTCATTGAGAAAAGCCCCGAGCATGTCGGACCTGAGGCTGAGCGCTGAGCAGAACCCGAGGGAGGCTCTTTATCTCTGTGCTGCTCAGTTGTTGTTTCTGTCAGGAGGCTTCTCTGCTGGAGTGCTACCTGATTATGCTGCAGCAGAGCGAGTCTCTGAGGGAACCCGTCCGTTTGTTCTGTTGGGCTCTGAGATGACTCATCTGGCACCAAGCAGCTCCACTTTTCATCTGAAACAAATCAACTGAACCTGAACACTGACCAGCTGCACACCTGAACAGCACACAACCGGACATAAATCAAACCTCCTCAGAACATCTGGTTCTGTATCTGCAGAACCTTTATCTACTGACCAGAGTTCTACCTTCAGACTGTGAATGTTCCAGAGGTCCAGGTCCTTGAAGTCCACAGAGGAGGGTCCAGATTGATCACTTTAATGGACTTTTTCCATCATTTCTGAGCCTCAGAACTTCATCAGAACAGCAGATAGACACATGACATTTAGGAGGAAGAACACATCTGGGTTCTGCTAGAACCTGACACCAGATCAGTTCTACATCCATCCAGGTGTCTCAGTCTGAACACTGGACCTGGTTCTGTTCATGTCCTGCCAGCAGCTGGTAGCATCAGTATTATGGGATGGATCATAGTGGTACCAGTTTAATGTCTATGACATAGAGTCACAGAAACAATCAGTGGTACCCTGGATGTGGTTCTGGTTCTGATCAGTCACCAGAGGAAGTGACTTCTGGGTAAACTTTCCAGAACCAGGACCATGTCCAGACAGAATCATTTTCTAATATTGTCGTATTGTCCACACATGTGGGATGAATAAAGTTGTGCAGCCACTACAGTCATGTTTTATGTTCTATGTTTAAATCGGTTCTGTTTAAATGATTGAGGTGAACTCAGTGACGGACCGAGCCTCAGCGTCTCCTAAAGTTACTGTGGACTCTTCAAAATGTAAAACGTGGTTTTATTTTCTTCATAAGAAGCATCGACTCGCCCTGACCGCCTGTAATATGAACCAGAGGAGCTGCTTCAGTTTGTCTCATCATCATTTAGAAGAAACGTAAAACAGCACACAGAGGACAGAAACTACAGCAGTCAGGTTCTCCTCCAGAACTCTCCAGAAAGAACCCAGAACCTGGAACTGGACCGAACTGGCATCACCAGACAACAGGGAATAAAAACCACCAGCTCAGAGAAAGTGGGAACAACTTTCATCAAGTTATTCTAATTAGAAATAGTTTTGCATTTTGCAGATTCAGCTGCAGTCACATGATGACGATCCGTCCAATCACAGCACAGAACCCTGAAGCTGGTCTTTCGAACCAACACAGGTTTAAACCAAAGTCCTGCTTCAGTGACTCACAGCTGCTGCTGGTCTGTGGGTCTGTGGAGGCGTTTCTGTCTGAACATCACCTCCATGTGAGCAGAATCAGGCAGAACCGAACTTATCACGTTTATTCATCACAACTATCCTCAGATTGTCCTCGTCTTTAAACAAACACCTCACAGTCATCAGTAGAAGCTGCAGTTTACAGATGTTCCCTGAACGCATCCCACCCAAAAACATTCTAAAAATGACCAACTTCTGTTTTTTAAAAATTCAAGCTATTTCAGAAGACATCAGAACACCACCGAGACGTGATCGTTAATGGAGCGCTTGGCTCCACTCGCTGACTCAGGATCAGCTGTAATGAAGACCAGCGGGTGTCAGCGTTCTGCATCATGACCTTCTTCACATCAGGCTGCAGGTAGTGTTGAACTCCTGAGCTCTGCTTGGAGGTCCTGAACCTCCTCAGAGTCTCTGTCATGGTCCAGTTTCTGCTAAACTCCCACAATGCTCTCTGCTGTCACCATGAGCTGTCGTCTGAGTGGCGCCTCCTCTGGTCTCTACAGGATTAAACAGGAAGACGCTCCACCTGGTGGAACAACCAGGTACTGCAGCTGGTCTACGGTACGTTTACTGACATCATGACCTTCTTCTTCTGCTTCATCAGCTCATATATGTTTAATTGTGAATCATTAAGCTCAATTAATATATTCATTTAGAATAATTAATATCCATAAAGGATGCTACCTGTGTCCCATCCAGGTGTCCTGTCAGCTTTGCTTCTCCTGACATCCCTGATAACAAGTCAAGCTTGAAGACCAGTTGTGTGGAAGTTAGCATAGATGCTACCAGGCTTTGGATGTTAGAACCTCCATATAAAGGTTGAGTTCTTAGTTAACTGACATCAGAAACCCAGACAGCTTTGTTTTGTTCTGAACATGTGTTGCAAGGTTCTGGTGACGTTCTGCCTGCTGGAGCTCAGTCAGTCATTCAGAGTGTTGAGTCCTTCTCTGAGTCTACCAGCAGGTCAGTGACCGTCCAATCACAGCCGCTGCACCTTAAACACAGACATTTGTTTCTAACAGACATTTTGTTCCATCTCTCATCAGAAGTCCGTTTCCCTCCTCGCTGCTGTTCCTGCAGCAGCAGCACTGAAATATTACAGAACAAACAGGAAGCGACAGTCTCTGGAAAACTCAGCAGTTTGTGGGAAAAACAAGCTGTCAGAGCGAACGCAGCTGAAGGAGACAGAGGAGAACGCTGTGAGATCTCTGTCTGAGTGACGAGAACGTCTCTGACAGCAGAACGTCCATCTGCAGGAACAAGAACAGCCGAGCAGCTAAACACGTGGAGGGTCCAAAGACTACACCTGGTTCTTAAATGGTTCTTCAGCAGACTCTCTGGTCAAGTTCTTTACTGACTTCCTGTGGTTCTTTAAAGGTTCTTCATGTCTATTTAGTTCTTTGGTGGGTTTCAGGTGACAGCATGAAGTCATGACTGTATTCTGATGAATCACTTCGATAAGACGTCAGATCCCAAACTGGTGTCTGAGAACATGTTCTGACAGACCAACAGTCCAGAACCAAAATATTCAAGGTGTTCTAACTGAAGGAACCCAGAAATGCTGCTAATTCTTAGATTTACAGTTCAAACATCAGAGCTCCTAAACAGG